ACACACACACACACATATATATACATACATATATATATATATATATATATATATATATATATATATATATATATATATATATATATATATGTATGTATGTATGTATGTATATATATATGTATACACACACACACACACACACACATATATATATATATATATATATATATATATATATATATATATATATATATATATATATATATATATATATATATATATATATACATATATATATATATATATATATATATATATATATATATATATATATATATATATATATATATATATATATATAATGTATGTACACACACACACATATACCGATCTCTGCCGCTGCATTTATTTCTTTATCCTTATGTACCTATCTCTTCCTCTTATCATCCCATGTATCTATTTGTTTAGTTATTTAGCTATCTATGCATACAGAAAATTATGATAATGGTATTGTTTATGAAATCATAAACATAGTGATAATGATATTTTTCTAATGAAAATTATGATAAAGATAGTGTTATCAGTAATAACATGAATTATGATGGCAATAATAATAATGATGATCAATAGATAAACAAAGCAAAAATATGAGCAACAACAACAACAACAAAAAAACAGTAAGAAAAGAGGAAAGTTCAAATCCTCCTCAAGCTCCTTCCTGACGCTCCGTGCCTGAGCAGATATGATAAAAAGGCTGAGGGATTCCGTGTGAGCTGAGGCTGGCAATGGTTCAAGCCAAGCAAATCAAGTGCGGTAAGTGAGGCAAATGAAAGGTAAACATCCTCATCGTGTATTTCCGTCAAAGGAATGATATAGATTTGAGATTAGCCGATCGATTAAGTGCTTGTAATTGATTAAATCTGGGTGCGTTGATTTGTTTTGGTGAGTAGTCCCTCGAGATATTTACTCAATGTTCTTGTTTCTATCCTTGTTGTTGTTTTGTTTTAGACTGAAGAAGGAAAAGACGAAATAGATCAATAACCATTAGAAGCCTTTGTAGATTAAAAATGGAGAAGGAAAATAAGAAGAAATGCTGGAGATGAAGTGAGGAAGGAAAGGAGGAAAGCAATAATAAGAAAAAAAAGATGAAGGAGTGAAGAGGGAAGGAGGTAAAGCCGAAGGAGAAGGCAGAGGATCCCTCCTGTCAGAAGCCACGGCAGAGAGGAAACTAGAAGGGAAAGGGATAGACGAACATGAAAGAGGAGGAGGAGAAAGAGGAGCCCAGATTCTGGTGCCCCTAAAGAGAGGAAGTGAAAAGGAAGAGGAAGGGAAAGGAAAAGAAAAGAAGAAAGAGGAGCTTGAGATTTTCAAGTCCCTGGAGAGACAGGAAGTGAGGAGGGAAAGGATTAAACAAAGAAGAAGAGGAGAAGATGAGACAGATGTTTAAAACACCTGGAGAAAGAGTTAGGAAGGGGAGGAGAGGGAGAAAAAGAAGGAGGCAGAAGAGTTCATCTATCAGAAGCCCCTGGAAAGAGGGGAAGACAGGAGAAAAATACAGATAATACAGAGAAAGGAAAGGAAGAGGAGAGAGGAAGTGAGCTCACATGCTTGAAGCCCCGGAAAGAGGGGGAGGGAGGGGAGAAAAGAGGACGAACAATAGAGAAGGGAGGAAGAGAGAGAGACGCCCATCTGATCTAAGCCCCTAGTTAGAGTGTTTTTTTTTTTTTTTTTTTTTTGGGGGGGGGGTAAAAAAATAAGGGAAGAGGGAAAGAAAAGAGAAGTCTCTGGAATAAGGAGGGAGGAAATGAAGAAGGAAAAAATAAAGAGAGAGAAGGATCCACCTCCTTCGAGGGAGAGAAGATGGAAAGAAGGACAGTAGGAAAAGGAGGAAAAAGAAGAGAGAGAGGAAGAGAAGTAGAAAAGGAAGGAAAAGGAGGAGGAGGAGGCAGAGAGGCCCACCCACTAGAAACTCTTGAGAAGAGAGGGAGGAAGAAGAAGGAGGAGGAGGAGAAATAGAAAAAACAGAAGGAGAAGGAGGAGAGACACAAGCCTGCTTGAAGCCCCTGGGGTGAGAGGGAGGGAGGAAGGAAAGTAGAAAAAGGAGGAAGTGCAAAATAAGCAGAGAGAGGCCCATGTAGGGGAGGAAAGGAAAGAGGAGGAACAGTGGAAAAAGAAAAAGGATAAGGAAAGTAAGGAGAGAGAGAGGCCCATAAGCTTGAAATCCCTGGGAAGGAGGAAAGGGAGGGGGTAAGAGGAAGTAGAAAAAGGGAAGAAGAGACGAGAGAGGCCCCTGGGAAGAGAGGGAAGGAGAGGAGGAAGGAAGAAAGGCAGTGGAAAAATAAAGGAAGAGGAAAATGAAGAGAGATACAGAGGCCCATCAACTCAAAGCCCCTGTGAAGTGAGGGGGGGGGGGGTGGAGAGAGCGAGGAACCCACCTGCTTGAACCCTCTGTAGATGAGTTGGATTTCCTTCCTGGAGAATTTGGTCGTTTTGGCGAGCTTATCCAGCTCCTCCGGCCGATAGCGCTGCACGTGGAGGCTGAAGTCGTCCATGTCATCCTCTGCGGAGATGAGAGAGCTTATTAGACTCTCCTGTTCGCCTGTTTCTTCTTCTTCATCTTCTTTCTTAATCTATTCTATTTATTATATTATTTTCCATCCATTTATTGCTTTTAACTAATTATCATCTTTTATTTATTCATTATTTTAGATCATACATTATTTTTTTCTCTCTCTTAATTCATTATTGTTTATTCATTCATTATCTTTTATCTATGCTATTTCCTTTTTTTCACCCTAGTATACCTTATTTTAAAAGTTGTTTCGCAAATTTCGCTGAGGATACAAATTGCGTGCCCTTCCACCTCGACAGAAGTAACAGGCAGCGTCTTCAGTTTGTAGTCTACCCAGTGATCAGTATCTACGTCCGAGATAAGGAGCTTTCTCTTGATGATAAGGACAGTGGTGATATAGATTTCATTGACAATGATGATGATAAATTGATGATAAGAATAGTGGTCTTGATGTAGATTTCAATGGCAGTGATGATGAGGAATTTATGATAATGATAATGATGAAAATGATTGATAGGGATAACGATTCTATTGTTAAGATGATAATAATGACAATGACGAGAAGGAAAATTGTGATGTTGATAATGATACTGGCGGCAGTGGTGATATTCTGCTTTTACAGATATGTAAAAAAAAAAAAAATTTTTGTTTTGTATTTCCCTTCGTTTCATTCACAAAGCCACCACCACCACACTGACCACAATAAGATCTTCAACTTCTCAACTGCTCTGATTCAGTTGTGCATTTTTCAAGCAGACTTCTAGTGTAAAGATAAAAAAATGTAGTTGTATCGCAATGGCATAAAGGCAATGTGTAGGCTGTAATCACGGGGTTCTCTTATTTTCGTCTTGTTCTATTACTTTTTTTGGGTATCATTTAAGATATCTGTATCTTCATTCTATTTATGTATGTATGTGTGTTATGACAACGCAGCCGCAAAGTTCTTGCGATAACTTTTGATCGATCAATCCTCCTATCTCTCTTTCTAGATGTCTGTTTGTCCATCTATTTCCGTCTATCTCTCTCTACCTATACCGTTTCCCCAACTTACACACACACACAAATTGTAACCATTAACAACCACAAACACTACCGTACAAAGATCACAGTTAAAAGAATACCACTTACTATTGTTATCCCCCTCTCCCGTCCTAACACTCATTCTTATCTCCTGTTTCGTATCTACAGTGTCTTCCTCCTCCTTCTCCCCCGACGACTAGTAACAGAGGCAATTAATAGCTGCTTCTATTGCTATAATTGCTATTACTCAACGGAAATGGTTCCTGTCGGTTGTAGGGGCGCAAAGGAACGCGATTGCCTTGATTGATGTAATGCTCAGAAATGGTCGGCTCTTGTTTTCATTAGAGGGAGGATCGCTCTCTCTCTCTGCCTCTGTTTGTTTGTTTCTCTGCCTGTTTGATTCTCTATCTCTGTCTCTCTCTAACTCTCTCTCTCACTCTCTCTCTCTCTCTCTCTCTCTCTCTCTCTCTCTCTCTCTCTCTCTCTCTCTCTCTCTAGCTATCTATCTATCTATCTTTAAACAGACGGAAAGATAGATATATAAACAGAGAAATAGATAGGTAGATGGACAGATATAGATAAATAGGTAGATAGATAGAGAGACAGATATAGATGAATGGATAAATAAATAGATCGATGAATATGCTTATCTGATAGAGAGAGAGAGTATGTGAGTGTGTAAATGTATGTTAACGTGTGTACACACGTTAACATACATGTACGCACTTACGCCCACTCACACAAAGAAAGACAATCGCACATACATACACAGACACTTACACACCTACACAGATTAAGAACCATGAAAATCAATAAATGAAAATATACACTGGCGGAAAAATAAATGTAAATAACAATCGCATTGTTCATCGCCGTTACACTGAAAGACAGCATGGAGTTGAAAAAATGGCGGAATGGGGCAACGAAGAGGCAAAGAGAGAGAGAGAAAGAAATTAATAAAACACACAGCTGCAAAATTAAAAGCTAGTGAAACTGTAACATACTGTACAGTACATTTTGTAAAAGTACTTTGAATATTATTTTCCTGTATAAAAGATGTAATTGTAACGTTTCATTACATACTCTCTTCTCTCTCTCTCTTTCTCCTTGTCATTTTTTACTTGATATTTTGTACTTATCATTATCCTTTTCTTCCTTTTCTTCCTCTTTCCATTTATTTTTCCTTCCATACTCTTGGCTACCCTTTCTCTTTTTCTCACATATCTCTGTTTCCCTTTTTCTACTTACCTTTCTAACCATCTAGCTATCTATATATATCTACATGCGTGTCTTCCTTCCTGATTCTGTGCCTGTCTCTCCATCCATCTACTTCTTCTCTGTTCCCTTGACCCTGCTTCCTTCAATAACGCTTCCCCTTCTCTTACCGCCCTAATGAGAAACATAACACTCTATTTGATAATCGCCGACCTATAATGGACTATAATCTTCTCTTCGACTTTAGCAAGTG